CAGATGCAGGGTAGGCTCTTAGTTGCAAATGTCCCCATACATGGTCACCCCTGGCAGATAGTTGTTGTTTACACCTACAATTACTCCGAACAAAGGGAGAACTTATGCAATCAAGTGAGGATTCACGCCGACACACGATTCAATGTTATCCTCCTCGAAGATTTTAGCTGCGTATTACATGCCAAAGATAGAATTCCGAGCAAGAAAATCCTTGATCCAAGTGTTGACATTCTTCAAGCTCTCGTTCGTATTGCGACCTGTTTAACACTTTCAAAACAAAAAATGTTCTTCAATGTACGCACTTCCAGGGATCATTGCATGCGCGTTTGGACCGTATCTATGTGTCTGGTTCGGCTAGCAGTTCATTTAGTAATTATAACGTCATCCCTGCAAATTTCTCAGATCATTGTATGGTCATGGTTAGTGTAGGTTCGAACCGAAAACGAATAAAGGAAAAGCCGCAATCATGGGAATGCTGGAAGATGAACAAAAGCCTGTTAGAAAATGATGCCTTTCAAAAAGCCACAAAAAACCTTATAAGTCACCTTGGACACATCAAAACTGGTGGTGCCAAAAGTGGGAACTGTTTAAGATCAAAATTCGAGAACTAGCTATTGAGATATCTTCAATAAAAAAGGTACAACGAAAAAACTGAAGAAGGACAACTAAACAAAAATCTCTTGTACTTATATAATCTCGAATGTCAAGAGCCAGGGATGTACAACAATGAAATAAAAAATATAAAGAGGCAAGTAGAAGAACACGACAAGAAGCGGTATGAAGGTGCGGCTGTGAGGACACGCACTCTACGACTAATTGAAGGAGAGCCACCTATGAAGAGGTACCTACACACCGAACGAGAGTATGTGAACAAAAAGTCGGTGCCATTGCTAATACTGAACGGCCAGGAACTGAAGAATGAAAGTGAAGCGCGAGACACATGCGCGAAAAATCCATCCGATCCGACGTCCGATCCGGCAATACGACTGCCTGATCCGAAAAATTTGGTCACTTCAGACGTCGGATCGGCGATCCGACGTGCGTCCAATGCGCCAGATAGTTTCGCACGGCGGACGGATTGTCGGATGCGTCCAGCCAATGACAGCACAGCTAGCGTGAACGTCATGATGACGTACTGGGTCTGGCGGGACGAAGCGAACGCGATAACGGGGCGGGCGAGGGGAAGCCGGATGCGTGAATCCCGCTGACCTATTCGAGAAAGATGGGCCCAGCAAAGAATGCACGCGCTAGCGAGAACAAGCTCCTAACTTTGCTCGTGCGAGCTAAACCGTCAATCTGGGACCAGAGATCTATGAACGCGGACCTCCGCTGGAGTGCTTGGATTTCCTGGGCGGAGCCGAACGGATCGTCGTGTCGCATGCAAGGTCGGAAGCGTGTGTCTCAAACTGTCGCGTACGGCGATTCGGAGCGGCGTTCGGACTGTCGGATCGGACGATTCTGCCGTCCATGTGTCTCGCGCTTGATATTCACCAGGCTGTTGTCTCGCATTACACCAATCTTTTTGCAACAGGCACTAAGGCACCTCATCCACGTCTGCGAGAGATAATATCAACACTACCCTGCTTAGAAAACAACACAACGGAAAAACTTAATTCACCCATGGATGTACAAAAAATTATGCAAAACATCTCTGAAATGAAAAGTCACAAAGCTCCTGGTCCAGATGGATTACCTGCTAGCTTCTACAAGAACTGGCAAGACCGATTTGCCCCCATACTTTGCAACGTTTTTGAAGAATCTGCACCACGGGTAACTTACTGCTGTCGTTTCGTAAGGCTCCTACAATACTAATTCCTAAATCGAAAGACCCTAACAAGCTTAAAAAAGTTGAAGGCTATAGACTGATCAGCCTTCTCAATACTGACTACAAAATCCTGGCTCGATTAATCGCAGGAAGACTTCAAACTGTCATAACCCTAGTCATCGAAGATCACTAAATATGTTCAATAAGAGGAAGAAATATACAGACAAACCTCCACATTGTTGGATCAACGTAAGAAGCAGCTGCTATTTTACAGCTTGATATCGAAAAAGCTTTCGATAGAGTAGACCACTCATTTCTTTTTGCCCTGTTGAAGCACATACAGTTTGGCAAAACACTTGAAAAGGGCATCATACTTTGCTACAATAGCTTTCCTCTTTGCCAAGGAAAAATGCAGAGCACATGCACTTGCAACCAATCTCCACAGGAAGCGTCCGCCATTAAAGTGCAAACGCTCCCCATGGTTTCCGATGGACCTTCTCTTCCAATACTCTGATCCTGACGTGCCCACAGAAGAGTGTGCCAGCGCGAGCCTTGTGCTACAGCCCGCAGCTGCTCCATTTCGACAAAGGTCGTTTTGTTTCCCAGTTTTTGCGGGCCTTGCGGCATCTTGTCAGCCTCGTCGGTCAGTGGGCGCGTGACCGAATCGTCACTAGAGGCGTCTGCTTGAAGCACAGTGGCTGTTCACGGGCGATCCGGGAAAGCGCCTTATTACGATGATAGCACGAGAGCAGTCGGAGCTAGGAAACACCCTTGCCCTTCTGTGCCTGAGAAATGCACTCTTTTCATCCATACAGAGACGAGAAATAGGTATCACCAGCCGCGTGCCGAGCAGACCATGCGCTAGACAAGCTGTGAATCGCGTTTGGGACGCAGAAAAGCCTTTGCCGATCGCCCCATCGGCAAAGCGAGCCACTTCGTCAGCAACGGCATTTGTGGGCAGGTCAGGATTGCAGTAGGTCGTGCTCTCTTCAATCAGCTTTCTGTAGCCTCCCAATGCAGGCAGCGCCGTCTTGCGGCGCACACGGGCATTGGAAGAGTAGGAGGAATTAGTAAACATGACGGCCTCGGGGAGCACTTCCGACAGCCATGGAGTATACAGGACGCGTTGTCCTTGGTCAATCCTTCGTTTCAGCTTAAGTCCAGACACAGGCAATGTTAGAAGCACGAGCTCCAGGCTTTCAGCGTCCCTGCCTGGCACACATGCTCAGGCAGTGCAAGCACCGTTCAGGGCCACATACTCGTGCTCTTAGCAGCGGCTGCGTTTTGGACTTAAAGGGCAACTCCGGCCAAAACTCAAAATGAAATAAATTACTGCTATTGCTGTAGTGACACAAAACACGACCCCAGGCAAAAAATTATGTCCGGGGGACGCCGCATTCTCAACTAATGCCGATAATAAAAATGTGACCCGCCGCGAGCCGCTGCTCCTTAGTGGGCGGCCAGCGGGTTGCCGATCGCTAAAGCAACATTGGGCTGTGACGTCAGTATCATTCTCTTTTTTTCCTCCGGTCCGGGCGTTGCGCGCTTTTTTGAGCCGCTACCACCGCTACTTCGGCTTGCGATTGGCGTGTTTAGCCGTTGCTTTTATCTGTAGCCCGTGTAGCTTCGGTATAGCCTTTTGTTTATTTGCTTGTGAGGACTCCAAAACTCGTTCTAGCGAGCAACTCAGTGCGCCCAAGGCTGCCCAGCTGTTCCTTGGAAAATGCCAAGTACAACTTGTAGCGGTGTGGGTTGCTCAAACAACCTGCTGCGCAACACGGAGGCGCTTTTTCACAAGTTCCCAACGGACAGGAAATTCGAAAAGGCGTGGGTGAACACTATTCGACGAGTGGACTTTGGACTTCGGCTTTTACGTGCCTGAGGAAAAAAGAACGAAAAAAATAAAAGCCGTTCACAATTCCCTGTAACGCCGGTTAGAGCGCAGCTCTGGAGGAGGAGGATGGAAGCGTACTGAGGGATAGGCGACTCCTTGAGGTCACGTGACCTCAGGGGGGTCATGTGACCTCGGGGGAGGGGGTCACCTGACCTCAGGGGGTCACGTGACCTTATGGGGTCATGTGACCCCATGCACTGTCAGGCATGCCGATGCACACCAAAGTTTGAACAAACGACACTTTAAGGAACATTTTCAGATAGGAATGCCAGAGAAATCCTGGAATGGTACCATATAGCAAAATTAAAGGAATGTTGTGTCAGCAGGACATCAATAACACAGTCTGAGAAGGAATTGCACTTTCTAGCTCTGTCTGTGACAGCTGACCGAGGCCACGTGACCTGGGGGGGTATCAAGTGACCTCAGGCAGGGTCACGTGACCTCGGGGGTCATGTGACCTTGAAGGAGGCGGGGGCGGAGTCACGTGACCTCGCGGTTACGCCGACGCTGCTCAAGCCGAAAACGGGCCCCTAAAAGCTGCGCTCTAAAAACAGACGTGTACAGCTCAGCACACGTGTTCGGGTGCCGCGGCACACGCTGGAAAGCCTCGAAACTTCGTGTCTGGCACTGACCCGCAGTGCGAAAGCGAGGGCCCCCAGTACTGTACATGACTGGCAGTGCGGCGTAGAGCAACGCCACTCCATCCACGAAGCCCTGATGACAATTTAGGCCTAGCGACGAGTACGGAAGACCGCACGCATGGTGACAACTGCCGAGTACGGCACTGAACGAGTTCACTCGCTTTCCAGTCGCTAGCTTTTGAGTATACAAGCGATGAGTACGGCATAGCGCACGCACGTTAGGTGCCACCGTGTATGGCACCTAACGAATTCACGGGTTTTCCAGTCGCTAGCTTTTGGGTATGTATACGCACTAACTCTTCCTACATAATCTGGATAAGTACCACGTATACAGAATTAAAACCAATATCAGCTTACCTCCTATCTTTAGACGGCTAGCGCAACAGAGGTAGGTGCCGTTCGGCCTGCATACTCGTTGAACGAGAACAATCCTGCCGTCATATTCACATAGCGGCTGATTTCCAGTGTTGCCAGGGTCTCGAGCGGCTAGTTTCAGTTTTGTTGGCCGCGCCCCAAACAAAACTTTGAGGCGTCGATATCTTTAAAGCTACGCACAATAACGAGAAAAAAATTACACCTTGCAATTCAGGGATGCTGAGTGCGCTAAATACAGTCATAATCCCAAAATCGAAAGAATGGACCGAAGTTGCCTTTTAAGCCGAAACAAAGTATAGGGAGGTGCCAATAACTCCTGAAGAAAAACGAGAAAAGGTATTTAATTCCGGCGCATAATGCCGACGTCGCGCTTACGCTAAACACCACCTCGTGTCTCGGCACGAATAGTGGGAGCCAACAAGAACCACCGTCCGCATTGACCAGCATCCAACAGTCACCAACGTCCGACCGTGGCACTAAGAAGGCATCGGCAACGACATGTCCTCACGCTGGAGCGAAGACGAAGAGTATAACAATCACTTCTAACCAGGTAGGCCTACTTGCCCGCCACATGAACCAGAGACGCTGCTGCCGTCAAGACAGCGTTGCGATGCCTCAACTCTAGCAGTTCAGCTTGGAGTCTGTGGCACTGGTCCTTGAGCATCAACATCTGGTCCTGGTACGCGGCTATGGTCAGGCCCGTCACTAGGGTCTGGCACCCGACAGAGTCACGAGGCACATCTGTCTCCGCCGACTGGTTCTGACTTTCGACGAGGCTAACCTGGATGCTCCTGCTCTCTCTCTGGCCATGGCTGGCCGTTGAGAGCTCCAAAAGCTTCTGCTTTGTCTGACAGCTGCGATCGGTAGTCTTAACTGAGGAACTGCTAGAGGAGAAAGAAGACGTGTTGCTGAAGTCACGTGTCCGGGCCTCGCTAGCTGTCACAGCCCTCGACACTCTACTGGTCACACTTTTGGCTGCTGCCTTAGACAGTGACTTGACCGCAGTTCTGGGGAACTTGGAAGGTACAGCGTGGGGAGCCAGGTAGCGCTTTTTGGGTCCTTGAATGTAGTCTTCCGGCTTGAAGTGTTTGCTGCAGATCTTGGTGTGGTCGGACGGTTGCCAGGACTTGTCACCTGCGTAGAGCGGATATTGTCCGTAGTTATTTATAGCCAGGGTTCCGTGTCTTCGGTAAACACCCATAATCCCCGAAAAATATATCCCCCGAGTCAGTTTTATCAAAATCGGGGAAAACCGGGATGCCCCAGATTGAAGCTTTTCTTGAATAGTGAAATCCCAAGCTTCATACAAAAAAAAAAATCATTATAGAGATCTTTTTTTTTTTATTTATTTAGATTACAAGTTTTGCTGAACTGTTTGTGCGCACTTTTTTTCTTCAAGACCTACACTACAGTAGAACCTCGTTGATACGTTTTTCAGGGGACCGCGGAAAAAAAGCGTATCAACCGGGAAAGCGCAGCAACCGATAACGCACTTAAAGGCACTCTATACAGTCGAACCTCGATATAACGAACTTCAATGTAACGAAATCCTCGATTTAACGAAGTATTTTATTTTTCATAATTTCTTGCCCATAGATCCCATGTATTTTTAGTCTCTATATAACGAAGTCTATTTTGCTGCTATTTCAATATAACGAAGCGCCATTGCCATAGAAGGCAATAAATAAATAGACTCTAAAAAACAACTTCGCAAAAAATTGTGGTTAAAAAGAAAATTATGCGCAAACGCGAGCGCTTGATAGGTTACTTCACGGGGACAGGCCTTCCAACGTTCCTAGGCTGCCCGAGGATGCGGCGCCGGTAGCGCCGGCGAGGCAAGCGGCAAAGCGGATTCCGCGGGGCTGGCCAGAAAATGCCGAGCAAAAAGTTAACGCGGCATAACAGCATCACCACTGACATTCACTGATCATCATAGTCCACTGTACCGCGGGTAGCGCGGGAGCCAACTTCAGCGGGGGAGCGACGTTGGCGACGTGATGGCGCGACCGCGCGACCGCACGGGCAGTGCCACTGTGGGCAGTGCCATCTAGGAGAAGACCGAGAAGACCGATTATCGTCTTGCGAGCGTGATGTAAAGCAAAAGCACAAGCACAGTGTGGGCGCAAGGGGGCAAGTAAACTGAAAAACTCTGCGGTCAAGAGTGCTGCGTAGGTTGGAAACATTGGCACCGCCTAAACTAAACACCTTTATTTTTTAACCGGGCGGTTCACTCACGTGCTTGCTGCCGTAAGGAAACGTAAAGTTCTTTCTTTGGATGAGAAAGAAACGTTTTGGACGCCATCCTGAAGAAACTGCCAAGATCACGAGCACTCGGGAAGTGCTCGACGCAATGGACGTGCTGAGGAGGTACACGGCGTCGCATGGGCACCAAGATGCCGTGCAAGCGCTGTGGGCCGTCAAACGCCGTATGACGCCGCTGCTACTGTCGGACAAGGCTCAAGCAAAACTCGCGGACTACTTTGCCCCTAAATAAATGTCATTTTCGGTGAGTTTTCATACCCGTAAAATGTTTCGGAATTTTTTTTTTGCATGCTAAAGCCAAATTTCGATTTAGCGAAATTTCAATGTAACGAAGTAAATTGCGAATTTTACCGATTTCGTTACATCGAGGTTTAACTGTATAAGATAGAAAGCAGCTCTTATGCAATGGTTTATTTTATGCACTTACCGAACTCTTTTGGACTCAGACACGTTCACAAAAACGCGTAATATCCACCTGCCGCTTCGAATTAATGGTATGCAGTAAAAGTCGTTTCTCCAGAAGCCGCAGTCCCCTCTCTCTCCGCGCAGTCATGAACGTTTACGTAGCGGCGCAAGGTGTCCAACGCAGCGATCGCGTCCGCAAACGTGGGTGCAGCGTAATCGTTGGTTTTTTTGCTCGTCTTCTTCATCACTTTCTTCGTTGTCGGCAGTAGTGAGGTCGGCCACAATGTCCGCTATGCTCGATATCCGAACGATCAGCAATCTCTTGCGCCTTCTCTCGCAGAATGCCTCCGTCGATGTTGACACAAGATGCCCGGGCTTGTTTGAACCATACCAACAGGGCCTCCTCTAACTTTGCGTGTTTTGCCCCCCGAGCCTGTTTAAAGCCTGGTTGGTAGAAAGGAGCCTTCGCCTCGATCTCCTTTCGTCTCGCGACGACACTGTTTAAAGTTGACGGCGCGAGCCCAAGCTCTCTTGCGACCTCAGACCTCTTCCGGCTGGGATTTCGATCCACCGTGCGAAGTATGTCAAACTTCTCTTTAAAAGAGAGTGCTTTTCTTTTTCGGGATGTCATGGCCGTCGTCAACGCGCACGCACTCAGAAACGGCGCTGTTCACGCAGTCGAGCTGTCGAGCGGAACAGAAACTGGAAGTGCAGCGTCCCGGCGTGCGTGCGGCGCGTAAACAACTCGCGCCGGAGAGAGAGGACAGACAAAAAGAAAGAGCAAGAGAGAACGAGCGTTTTCGCAGAGCTCAGCAAAGCCTAGTGAGGAGACCGGGAAAGAGGGTGAAAGGAGTAAAGGAAAGGGGGGCACCCGCGTGCCGCGCGGCCGCGCCAGAGGAGTGCAACTTCCTATACCGCCCATGGAACACAAATTGGAAAACCCTGGGAGGCCGCAGCGCCATTTGAATCCCCTGGTATCTGGTGGCTGTACTAAAATCAACATGGCGGCACAGCGAAACCAAAACCGAAACTGCACGGCAGCGCCATTGTGCTTGGATGGATGGGCGGTAGCTTGCGCCACCTAGAGTTAAATATATATATATTGTAGCTTTTTTTTGCCCGGTTTGCGCGTTGCTTTGCTAGGCTTCTGCTGCTTTGCGGCTGGTTTTCGCATTTCAATGCTGGTTAATGTGCGTTGAAACGCACACAAGCCAGCACTGAAAAGCGAGACCAGCAGCAAAGCAGCAGAAACCTAGCAAAGCAACGAAAGTGACACATACACAAAAAAATATGCAATGCTTGTCTTTTTACGTTCATTTTTATTCAGCAGACAGTAGAAAATACAGACGAAATTTCTCACTGTTTTGCACACGAGAAACAAAGAAGTGAACAACAAAACAGGATAAAACGTTAAGGTTACGTGCGACGCAGGTGATGATATGCGTCCTTGCAAATTTGATTATATAAGTAAGCATATAAGTAAAGACCGACGACGGTGTCTTAATTGCAACTAAAGGAAACTAAGCAATGAGTACCAAGAAAAACAGCTCAGCTCTTTGGTATTGAGTCTTCATCGAGAACCTGCCCATTCGTTTTTAATATTATCACTTAAATTTAGGAGTAAGTCACTGCTAAACGAAACGGGAAACCAGAGCGGATCGCTCTATCGCTCATCCTCAGTTAATCGAAAAATATTTAGGCTCATATTTTCACTCCTCGCGAACAGACGCGTGAATTGCTGACAACAGTGCCAAATAAACAGCTCACAGCAAAAAGTTTGCAATCTTTTAAAGTGAGCATATGTGCTCGATCTTGATATGAAAAAGTCGACACACAAGTCTCCAGTCATTTGACTATGACATATTTCTCGCGGCGAGTGAAGAGCAATCCTGAACAATGATAGGATTTGGTTTTGTGATTGGAAACCATCGTAGCTATTGCCAAAATCAAACAATTAATACTCACTACCACTGCGACAGTTAGGTTTTGTTGCAAACATCTAATCAGAAACTTAAGCGAGAGAAGACCAAAAGAGCGTACCGCACGTCCATTCGAACTCGAAACCATTGATATCCCGGCTTTCGGCAGTCATTGTTTCCCCACTTGGCACATCAGGTGGTGTGTTGATGACGAAAATCCATGCTTGACCACATTACACCAACAAGTTCCCACAAAAAAGAAAAGACCGCCGCGCGCGCACGAACGCGGGACGAATTTTGCGCCGCGACGCACTCCCAGAGGCGAAACAACTCGCCGGCTCGCGTCCCTCGCGCGTTCTAAAGCGCGATCCAAACCAACGCTTCTTTTTGTGCCTGTAGGTCGTGCGGCTGCGGATGTGACGCATTTCGTGGCGTTTTTGCTGTTTCCGGGCGCGCTTTCTGAGTCAGAACCGTGCGCTTTGGTTTGGACGGGCAAAACTTCGGGCGAGCGCGCACGCGCGCACGCAGGCACGAGCGCACAAGCAAAGTGCAACTGCGACAGACTGGCCGGCCAGACGGCGAGAGAAAGAGAGAGAGAGAGAGATCGCGTTGTCATGTTGGAAGATAATAAAAGGGGGGGGGGGGGGGGGGGAGAGGGCAGCCATACGGCGAGAACCGCGGAGCCGGAACTAGCTTGCCCTCCACCTAGACCTGTGCGCCGCCGCGCCGCGCCGCGCCGCGCCGCGCCGCCGCCGCGGCCTGTTTTGCTCCTGCCGCCCTGCGCCGCCGCCGGAATCCCCAGTGCCAGCACGCCGCCGCCGCCGCTGCACAATAAATCCGGCGCGCCGCCGGCGCCACCATCTTTTTTTTTTTTTTGGGGGGGGGGGGTATTGGTGGTTTTTTTTTCTGCTTCTGTATGAGTTTTACTTACTATATTATGCATAAAAATGAATAGATATTTTTGCCTTTCATTTTTACTCCTGTAAATATATCAATAAATGTAGAAGTTCCATAAAAAAACGGAGACACGGAACGATAAAAAAACGGACAAAACAACAATTCTCAAACACCGTTCGTTGTTTATTTGAACAACGAACGTTGTTACACATACCTCAAAACCCTCACCACCAAAAAAGAAACACCTCCTCTTCACTCGGTCACCGAGAGCCGGACACTCAGACAGAACCCATATGATTCATGATTCAGACATATCTAAATGATTTACACCAACCAGTCACCCTGATGACCTCGCTTGAGGGCTGACCAGCCACATGCGATAACAGGAAACTCCAGCTCCAGCACAGCCCTTACAATTTTTAGAAAACAGACGCAAAAAACGCCTCATGTCACTGTCCAGTGGCAAGGACGGTGTGCTTACTCAATTGCCAGAGGTCAAAATACGCATGGCCTCCCTCAGAACTCTCCTACCATTGCTGATTGTTGGGCGAGTTGGTATTGCGCGTGAGAAAACATGATTGCGCTTTAAGGCTTAGACATAGGAAGAACACCACAGAGCGCTTACTGTCAAATGATTTAATCCAAGAGCCT